CCGCCCCTTCCCTTTCGGTTTTTTTTCTATTATTATTTTTTTATTATTATTATTATTGCAGAGTTTTCGTTCTTGTTGAAATAAAAGCCAACGAACTTTTTGTAAGGATGAACAAAATAGTCACAACGGGCAGTTGTGATGCGATAGAACAAAAGATACCAAACACTTGTTTAGGTCTCAGATGAGTTTTGAAACTCTAGTTTATAAAGAAGAATAAAAAACCAGCCCAGCACCAGCAGCTAAAACCACCATTCCATCTCTTCTTTCACTTGAAAGCCTTAGTTACAGTCCAGATGTGAGAACTCTTACCTTGGAAGGGGGTTCCTAACTTGTCTCAGACCAGTGTGAGCCAGCCGGCTGCCACCTCCCCTTAATAAGCTTTTAGAGTTCAATGTAATGCCAAGAACATGCCTTGAAACGAGTAGCCTTCAGCCGGGTTTGTCGCGGTTGTTGTCCTTGTTTTTGTTTTTTAACGAAGTTATATGTTTGGGGGGTGGGGGGGTACCCTTGCATTCCAAAGTCTGATACTGGTCTCATTGCCACCGTTTAGTGAGTGTTTAGCTTAGAAACATTCCCTCTGCTCTCTGGAAGCCTTGAGCAGAGCTCAGTTCATAATTGTTGGGAAATAAGTGCTTCATTTTTAGCTGTTTTGAGTTGATTCGCACCACAACTCAATATGAAAAAAATAAACCTATTTAACTTATTTATTATCTTGTGAAAAGTATACATTGAGGATGTTTGTTCATACTGTATTTATCGAGTATGATGAAAAGCAATAGATATATATTCTTTTATTATGTTAAATTATAATTGCCATTATTAATCGGCAAAATGTGGAGTGTATGTTCTTTTCACAGTAATATATGCCTTTTGTAACTTCACTTGGTTATTTTATTGTAAATGAGTAAGAAAAAATCTTAATTTAAGAGATTGTATGTAATATTTATTTCATTAATTTCTTTCCTTGTTTACGTAAATTTCGAAAGATTGCATGGTTTCTTTACAGAAATCTATCTATCTTGATGCTGTGGAAGTAGTTTGAGGAACATTTTGAGTCTTTTCTTACTTAGAATGTATAATGGTTGTGGCCCACCCAGCTTTAAAGAGAGAAAAAGAATGACCACATACTCTGCAGTCCGGCTCACATGTGGCATGCTTGTCTAGTCCCAGCCTTATAAACCAGCAAGAGAAAACAAAAAAACAAAAATGCTGATTCCACCAGCTCTACTGTGACATTGAGTATAAAGACATGTAGCAATAACGGGGAAATAATGGTCTCAGTGCCTTCATGGGGCCCGAACTTGCCTTAAATCTTCCTCAACCAAATAAGTATTTCATTAGTGCTTGAGCGAATTTGAATGCCAGATGGGTTAACCTGCACAAAACGAGATTTTTTTACCACTTTTTTTTTTATATATATAGCTATAAAGTGAAGAGGGCCATCTTAGTGCTGAAAATGGTCTGTAGAACATGAATATGCCTTGTTTCATAACAGTCCGAAACTTGTACTATGACTTTTCGATGTAAAAAGGCAGGAATGTCCCTCCCAGGCCTTCCTGGATGGCAGATGAGTGAGCAGGCGCTTAGTTTTGTATGTAGGGTACAGTTGGAGCACCGAGTGTGTGTATTCTGGACTACTTTGACACAGTAGGTTCTTTTTTGAATGTAACAAGATAAGTCAACTTGAGTTGTAATATATTTTTGGGGAATCAGTTCACTACAAATTGTGACTGTAAACATTGTACTGTAAATGTTTTGTAGTTTTCCCCCCCAATAAAATTTTTTGGAAAAAAATTTTCCTGAGAGAGAAGGGAGTGTTCTTTTTAAAACTGGGTCTCCTTTCCTGGCTTCCCCGGGGCCTCCTCAGCAGGTCTGGGAAGGGGTGTGGGGAGCTGACAGATCGCTCAAGAGCCTGCATCCACTTGTTACCTGTATTTATTTTCTAGCAAGTCCTCTCAGCTGAAAGAAACTAATTATTTGGCTGTCAGGGGTATTTGTTAGCTGTTCCCTTTGGTAATGAGATGCATCCCAGTGTTGGCTGACTGGCTGGTGGCAGGGCCTGGCGGGAGACCGCAAGGGGTGTGGCCGGCCTGTGAGTCACCCAGTGGATCACGTGGCTGCTCTGGCAGCTGAAAGTCCGATTTTTCTCTGGGATGCCTGCCTGACCGGGGCCTGTAGCCTTGACGGGAGCTGGCTGGTGGAGGTCTGGCCCAGGCGTTGGGAGTCCAGGGTTTTGCTTGGACTTTGGGTAGCTGGGTTATGTCCTTGTTCAGAGAGAGAGAGGGAGGGAGATTAAGCGGGTTAAACTTCTATCTGGGTGATGTTTGTTTACACAGACAACTTCCTCTGGGAACGAGCACATTCAGGCTATTTATGCAAAAGGAAGGCTGAGGAGGCCAGAAAGCAAATTCAACCGGGCTTCTACCGAAAGGAAAAAAGACTGCCTTGCTTTGCCTGGTTCTCCGTCATAAACTACAGTCTTGTGCATTGTTTTTTGTTGTTTTCTCCCAGCTGGTTTTAAATCACTTTTAAACTCCTAAGACAATTACTTTTCTGCCCCCCTCTCCCATTCGCACAGTTCAGACACCTTTTCCAACCTAGACAGGAGGTCCAGCAACTGTGTGCTTCCTTATCAATAGCAGCTGGGCTCTCAACCAATCCTTGCCCCCTCTCTGGCTACCCCGGCCTTGGCCAGGGTCTCCTGTGACTCACAGCTGAGCAGGAACGGTGGTGGGGGTGTCTGAGGGATGCGCCAGGCTGGGCAGCTGTTTCTAGTTAAGGCGATGGAGTTGGTGTGCAAAGCCTTTTTTTTTTTTTTTTTTTTTTTTTTTTTCAGTGCTTGCTGCCAGAGTGGGGAACAGTTTCAAAGTTCTCCCAGATGTTAGGCCTTGGGGGCGGAGGGAGCTGGAGGCCAAGAAGCCCTGAGGTTGGGTGAAGCCCCTGCAGCTCTCTGGCCTCTTGGCCATAAAGAATTTGCAATGGGGAGGAGACGGCTCCACTGTGGAGCTGTTTAGGCCCGGCTGCGTTTCAAAGACCTTGTTTCCACTTCATTCCCAAATTTATTTTTTTCCAAACAAGCACTTTTGAGCAGCTGGAATGTTGGGCTTCTCTTTGGGGTAAGCCACATTCATTTTTTAAAAACTTTCAGCCATTTGAAAGCCTGAAAGCTAGGCTCTGACAGTTTGTGTTTGAGATGCATGCGGGGAGGTAGGTGGTCATTCAGAAGTTCTCTCACCCATACATACATCATTGGAGGCTCTGGGTCATTGTGCCTCCGCAGCCACCAGAATAAACAGAAAACAGCCTGTCCTTGATCCCACCCTGAGACTGGTTTTAGTTTTTTGTTTTTTGTTTTTTTGGTTTTTTTTTTGTAAATCCATGATATAGGAGGAGAACTTGGAAGTAAGGGCAAAGTAGGATTAGCCACCACAGGGCTGCACTGTGGAGGCTCCGGGCTGAGTCTAGATAGGACCTTCCATGGGCAACTGTGGTTGTTCAAAGAGGTCTTCCAACTGACTGCTTGGAGGCTGGGGTGATTTTGAAACAACCCGACTAGTGTGCCCCACCTTATAAACGATTTCAGAAAGGTGTGCGCAATATGGATCCCACTGCCTGGGTCTCCTGCTAGGGGTGTAAAAGACAAGTGAGCACACAATTGAGGAGCCCTGTGTGGAGACACAGAGGAACGTGAGCAGGCCTGGAAGGCCCTTGGTGCAGGAAGGATGGTAAGCCAGGCTCTTGACTGCCAGGTCTGCTCCTGAGGGAGGGTTCTCAGGGAATCCTCTGGTGGGTTTCTACAGAGAGCCTGCTGGAAAACATTAAACCTCAGGAAGAAACCCACCTGCAGACACCACCACTCTCCGTCCTCCAGCTTTGCTTGCAGGGACAAATGAAGGCAGATGTGACTTGCACCCAAGGTTTTTTTGTGTTTTTTTGTTTGTTTGTTTGTTTGTTTTGTCTAAACCGGAAGTTGGGTCTCTGCAGCCCTTTCAGGCTGACCAGCTGTTGGACTGAGGCCAGTCAAGCTCATGTTTGTTTGCAAGACAGGGTCCTTTCTAACTGCAGATCCTCCTGCCTCAGCCTCCAGCTGAGTCGGGACTACAGGTGTGCCCTACAACGCCCAGCTGTAATCTCGTTTCATTGTATTTACTATCCTGGAGGATGCTGTGAACATTAGACATTCAGGGCAGTTCTTTTTTTATGTTGTTTTTCCAGACAAGGTTTCTCCACGTAACCCTGGCTGCCCTGGAACTCACTCTGTAGACCAGGCTGGCCTCCAATTCACAGAGATCCCTCCTGCCTCTGCTGGGATTAAAGGTGTGCCCCCACCACCACCACCACCACCACCAGGCAGTGTAGTTCTTGATCTGAGCTACTAGCAAGCCAAAGAGGGAAGGAGAGAAGGAAAAAGGAAGTTGAGGCAGGGCAGGAAGATGGTGCCAGAGCAGGCAGCTTCGGTATTCTTTTACATTCTGACCAGAGGAGCTGGAAAGTGCAAGAACATTCATAAGTGTGTATGGCAAGGCATTTCTGGAGGGAAGTGTGAAAGGTGTGCCCTTGGGGGAGGTGGCGGGTTTGTGTCCGTAAGTCCTGGGTGTCTGTCTGGGCATACAGGTGTTTATGGATGTTGATTTGTGTCTGTGATTTATGAAATGGATGCAGGAAATGTTGATGGGTATGTATTTCTGGACTTTAGCTGATGTAGGGGGTTATGAATCTTGCAGAGGATAACGGTAGTGGGTGAGTGTGGGTGTGTATAGATTGTGATGGTGTACGGATTGCCTGTAGTAGGTAGGAGTGTGGGTTTGTGTTTGTGCCGTGTATTTAGGGTTTGAGAGTGTGGGAGTCTGTGGGTGTTTCTGTGTTGGGGTTATGGGTGTCACGATATGGAGGCTTTGCATGTGCAGGTGTGTGCATGTGAGTGTGTGTGTTGCTCTGGTGGGTGTGTCCTTGTGCCCTGCTGTGTGTGATCGAATGTGGGTTTGGGCGTATCTGTATGTGGCTGCAGCTGTGGGGGTGGAGTGGGCCTTCGGTGGTGTGTGAGGAGGTATGTACAGCTTGTGTTTGGGTCTGGTTATATCAGCAGGGGCATGGGGGTGTGTCTGTATGGGGTAGGGGGTGGGGGTTACCAATACCTATAAAGGAAAAGCAGCCCTTCTTAGCAAACCTCTTCCAAGTTTAAAACTGCTTTCAAAACCCGGAAATAACTGCCAGACTGCGCTTCCTGCTGGGCGGGGACAGGACAAGGCTGAGTGGGAGAGTGACCACAGTCTCCAAGCCTGCAGGGACCCCCAGAGCCATCTTCATTGCTGGGCACACCTGCCAAGGACAGGCCTCCTGGGCCCCTTGCTGTCTGCTGGGACTTTTTTAGCAACAATTCATTCTCTGGGGGCTGAGGGAGAGGCCCTCTTATTTTCATCTGGGCAGAAATAGCTTCTGTCAGATATTCGTTCGCTGTTCGCCCCGGGAGGTCACCCCGAAATAGAGAGAAGATGTGAGGGCCCGGGACCAATGGGGAAGGAAACTCCTGAGATCATTGAAACCAAGTTTAAAATATTTCTCTAAAAATAAGCTTTGTTTTTCTTGTGGATTCGTCTGGCACTCGGGAGCCCTCCAGTCAGGGTACTTCAGCTGGCTTGGGAAGCCCAGCAGAATTTTTTTTTTTTAAAGCGAGTGTTTCCCAGCTGTGCCCTTGGAAAGTTCTCTGTTTTCCATTTATTAAACTCCTAGTTTCCGGCTAATTAAAATTATTTTCAAATAAAACTCTGTAGCCCAGCAATATTTGATGAAATGCAGAATTCCCAGTGACCCTCTGCAGGAGGCCAGGCCAGCTGTGGGCAGCCTGTGTCCCCTCTTCTGGGCTCAGGCCTGTTTATATAGAAGAGAACTGAGCCTGGTCCGAGTAAATTCCAGCAGCCATGGCAGGGTGGGTCACCTTCAAGTCTCCAAAAGAGGCTTGGTATAATTTATTTTGTGCTGTTGCTTGGCTGTGCTGGTGTTGCACCCCACGGTCTGGTCGGTGTTAGGCCAGTGTTCACCACCATGCCACGTCCCCCACACTTGAGGCTGGGGTAACTGGAAAGCTGCTGTGCCCACTCTCCAGTACCACTAATACCATGGGCAGAGGGTCCCCTTCAAGAGAGACACATAGGCTAGATGTGGTTGGCTCTCGGTTTGAATCCCAACACTCAGGAGGCACACACAGGCTGTAAGGTTGAGACCAGCCTGGTATATATACTGAGATTCAGGACATAGAGAGACCCTGTCTCTAAAAGAAGAAAAACAGGTAGGGGCATAGGTACATTGATATTCCTACCTGGTATGTCTCTCCCTGACCTAGAGACCCTTGAGACTTTAGGATCAGTGGGGTTAATGTCCCAGGACTTTACACCTCCCATATATCCAGATCCAGCATGCCCCAGAGGTGGGTGGGACCCAATAGAAATTCAAAGCCACCTGGTATGTTAATAGATGAGAGATACTGCTGTCAGTGAACACACTGAGGGTAAGGCAGAGTCCATGATTCACCTGCCAGCAGAGCCCCCATTGGTGGACAGCAGAGAGGCAGAACCTCTCCTTTGTCCCACAGATAGTTCCCACTGTCTGGTAAAGGGTAAACTGGTTGCTGCTGCCTTCAGGGAGTGTACAAATGAGGTTTCAGTGTTTGCCTGTGGTATAGCAGCCGTCAGCATTTCATTCCTTTTTATGGGTGAGAAGTATTCCATTGTATGGATATACCACAATCTGTTTAACCAGTCACCCAGAGTGGGTGGGCACTTGGCGATTGCTCAAAAGCAC